CGCACGCATGGCCTATCTCGGAATGTTCGGTCCTCGGCAACAAAAAAATTTAAAGAGGGAGGGGGCACCATTCTAGAGTGACGCAAACGTAGCGACTTGGGTCGTCTTACCTCTTTCTCTAGCCAAGTCGCCGTAAACTGGTATTGCCGCGTGGCCCCTTACTATATTCGCTTATGCAGCAGGCGTGGGGCGTGTCAGGGGCGGAGAAAGGTTGCTTCTGACGTGGCGCCTGAGTGCTTTCCACCAGTTGTTGTCACTTGCTGGCTTCAACAATTGAGTTGGCGCTGCGCCAAACATAGCCCCCTAACCCGCCCCACAATCTGGAGGAAAAACGACAGTACGTTACCACCTCGCTTTCTACAGGTAAGTTATCTTCAGAAGCAGATGAGCATTGTACAGAGGCAAATACGAACTCCGAGTTCGTCTCAACTCGAAATGACAACCGCGGTACAGCACAAGTCGAGTTGGATTCTAACAGAACTGAGAGAAGGTATTTGTCTGGTAGGACGCCAAATGAAAGTAGCGCCCTTTCAGCTTTAGTCACAAGGCAGGAATGACGAATCGCTGGTGCTCGCATTACAAATGTGGGCTGATGTTTATCCATCAACGCCGTAAGCAGTTTCGCAATAGTGCTACAGCACTAGAAATGAATTTTCCCGCCAAGCACTGCTCATTCATTTGTTTTTCCTTTTTTCCCTTTTATTTTTCCTTTTCCTCAGCACAGAAGAACTCAAGGTATAGTCCACTCATTTGCGGTGTACACACATTCTACTGTCTCTTGTAACCAGGTGTGTAGCAAAACAACCGTAAAAGCGCCGCGCGCGGGAAATTGTGCGGCAATTTCATACTGACGCCTACCAAACCCAAGGTATTACTATTGCAGCACTGATTTGCAACGGATCCACGACTGCGTTTTTGCTACATTTTTATCCTCAAGAAGTCCAGGGTGAAGCCCATATCGCGGAATTCGCGACGGAGGGGGAGGGTCACATTTCTAGAGGTCAGTGCAGAACACAGCAGCGACGCAGCTTGCAGGATGGAACAAATCAGAGA